GGCCAGTGTCCTAACTTGGAGGAGTCACAGGTGTGCGTATGAAGATGGCCAGTGTCCTGACTTAGAGGAGTCATGAGTGTGTGTATGAAGATGGCTAGTGTCCTGACTTGCAAAATCAAATAAGAAATAATATCTCATTTTATCCCAACAGAGAACTGGCCAGCCCTATAATCATGTAGGAAAGAAGTAATGAATCATCCTGCTATCAAACAAACGAACAACAAATTTTAAAAAGCAATGCTGGAAATCGACTACTTACTCCTGTACTGACAAGAGACAACATAATCCTTTCATTTAAGGCTAATGTTTCTCCTTGTTTCATCTTGATTCTCTTCTTATCCAAGCATTTCATTGCATACCTAGAAATATAAATACTATTGAAAAATCTATGCTGCAAATTGATCTAGACTGATTTAAACAATAAACATCATTCTAGGGGAAACTTCTAAATATTTAGGCAATGTTTAAAAGAAGGAAAATGGCACCCAAGTACCATGTAAGAAATACTTTTATTTTACATGCATTATTTTTAAAAATCAAGCAATATTAATATTTCTATCACTATATGGATAGAAGTTCCAGTTAAATAACGTTGAAAGTAGATGGCTAGAAAGAAATTCAATGAGATAAGTTTTTCTGCACAATGCTACAGCCTATTACTACTGGTGATGTGGGGACATACATATTACCTTTAGCAGGTAGGAATTCTGAATTCATCAGTTGTCACGTTTTTATAAGAGTATATATAGTTTAAAACTCTAAAACAGTGACAGTTAGCAAAATAGGAAGAAAAGGCATGCATTCAAAAAGCAAATTCTAAAATGCTATTTTATTGATGTGTCGTGAATTTTGATATTTGCGTTATTATACTTTAAATAACAAAAATAATCAATAGGATTTTTCTATTACCACAGGTAAAAGCTTATTGAGAAGGACCAATTATACCTTAAGATTTCTGAAAACTTGGAACAAACTCATTAATATTGACCATTTGTTCAGCATAGTCTATAATCACAGATTAAATAAGAAGCTTTTTCAGTGGAACAAAAAAAACATAAAAGGGAATTCTTGTAAATAGTTTTTATACATGTCTGAGGGGCTGTCTGAAAATTCCATGTGTGTGACTGTAACTTCCCTGTTGACAGTCCCATTGCTCAGCTATACAAGATGGACCACTGTCTTAGCATACTATGACACAGAAAATCTACCTATTTCTTAGTGATCACAACTTACCATGTATAGTTACAGACAAATAGCGAGAAGGGTTCAAATTTGATATTTTTATCCTCTTTTCTAGGAGTTCTTACACTGAGTCAGTGGACAATTTGCTTAATTAGAAGATCAAATATTGAGAACATGTGAAGTTATTCGTTCTTTAAGTATCTCATTTATATGATGAAGAATTTTCAAAATGCCTCAACTCTACTCCTATCACAACTCTTCAACCAAGATGGGTTTTAATAAAAACTTTAAACATCAGACCAGAGCAGATGATACACACAGACCTTAGGCCATTGGTAAGCAAATGCATTTGTGGCTTCTGTGTGGAAGGTACCAAAGAGTGACCCTGACAGGCCCTAAAGGTGTAAGTAGCTCACTGAGGGGATCTTGGGGCCGGGGCTGAGCAGCCTGCAGCCCTAAGACAGGAAAGAACTCAAATGAGGCTTTGTAGGGGCTGAGGCTTGACTACCTGCCAGCTCTGTGACCCCCCCAAGAAGTGGCCACCTGTAATTTATAAAATAAAAGAATATTTACCACCAACTCATTGTTTCTGAGCATTAATGTAAATGTGTGCGAAGAGATAAACTGGTATTATTTACTTCTACCATGTGTGACAGACTAAATATTCTAAATATGTCAACAAGCAACAATGATGGAGCAAAACTAACAGAATTTCCTGAAATGTACCAAGCAACAAGTCTATCATTTAGTATAGAAAAGTTCACTGTGCAAGTACAGAAGGCGAAAGGACTTTTTCATGGGAAGAGACCAGTGTTGCAGAGGCCTGTATGTTTCAGCATACTCCTATTGACTAATACTTACTGCAGGATAGGCAGCCTTCCAGATGCTGTACAATATAGAATCTCATGTAGTCCTCACAAGTTACTTTGATTATACCTATGTTATAGGCTATGATATGGAGGTGTAGAGAGGTCACAAACTTTGTCCAAGGCACCAGGTATGGAAGCTGAACCTCCCATAGCTGGTACAGCTCCAGCACCTTCACTCCAGATCACTAAGCTCCACTCTCTCAGCATGACCCCAGAATTCGAACTCTCGGGTGCCAGGCACCAGGTTCACCCCATAGAGGGCCCCAAGGCAAGAAGATGACCAATGGGCAGAGATTAGTGAAGGTAACAAGAAACAGGTCAACTATCAGACCTCCTTGAGAATGGAAAGAACCGCTCGGCAGAGCCATCAGCACCCAATGCCAGGAAGTGCCAGGCAGAGGCTAAGTGATGACGTGTAGGCAAGGATGGAGCAATTGGTTCTAATGTGCCTATGACTTAATCAAATTTGTAGTTCTGGGCCTATCAAATCATATTTTTCCTTTCAGAAATATGTTTATTTTAACTGCTTCTATTAAAAAAAAGTCCCCCCCCCGCCAGTTAGGAATTCCAGTGCTCACTTTCCAGAAGAGCCTTCGACCAGGCTCACATGCACTGAGTTTCTTCACATGGACTTCTCATAAGAAGAACTACCGAGGTGAGTGATGGAGCCCACACTTGCTGGGGTCAGTGGGGTGTCCTTCTCTGCAGCACCCCAACTACCCATCTAGGGAATCAACATCTCCTGAGAAGCTGTCACCCAAAACTGCTTGTACTAAATCAGAGGTGAGTCTTTAATGAAAAGAAGATTCTTCTGCAAAGCAAACTACTCTCTTTGGTACTATCTGACAGGGAGCTGAACATAACACGCCTCTAGTTGCCAAGAATCATTTCCTGTTCATCTCTGGACCCCTGGGGCTCCTCACCTACGACTTGGTCCCTGCTGGACACGCAACACGGGGTTATCATTTAACTTCCTCTTTAGCCCTACAAGGTGGAGGCTCTAGTTTATTGCTTCCACTCACCATGCCCAATCAAATACAGCCTATTTCCTTCTGAGGGCAATGACTTCAGAAGCAAGATTGTAGGCTTCCACATTTCTCATATGGGGATTGTTTTTGACACAAACATAAACTCCTCTTAATAATTCCCGCAAACTATATGAACATCAAAAGCTTACATTTTTCCAGTGTCTGCTTTCCTGCAACCATAAACTTCACCAAATCCTCCTCGTCCAATAATCCTATGGACACTGAAATCATTCATGGTCAACTGTGAAGTCAAAATACAAAATGAAAACTTAAAACGATGCTGTTATAAAGGTATTTTCATGCAAAACATAGACAGTAATTGAAATAGCAATGCTGACATAGGCATCTACCCCTTCTATGACCTGCAAAAGGAGACACCCCAGGGTGGCAAGACTTAACATTAGCCCTAAGCTCCCCCTCTATGGAACACGAGGCACAAAATGGAGGCACGTGGGAAGATGACACAGTGGGAACCAAGCAAGCTAAACAGTTCTGACAAGTGCGCAGGTGGCGAATCACAAGATGTACGCTTCAAAAGGAGTATGAAATTTCCAGTCGAGATGAAAATCCACCTCAGCTACTCTGAAGCCTAAAGTTTGGGAATAATCCAAAAATTCCAAGAACTGTCAGGGAAAAAAAAAAGAGTCCACATCAAGGGCATCTATGTTTTCCTAATAGTGGGCCATATGATCGGAAAACACAACAGATGCAGGCCATGTGAACTTTTGTTGATGACATCAGTGAGTAGAGAGGGGTCATGCTGGCCATGTGAGCATGAAACAAGACCAAATGGGAGGAAAGTACATAAAGAGGCTTTATTCATAAGTGCCCTCCCTTTGTCAATAATCTCTAAGCAATGCCCCACTTCCTAAGTAGACTTAATGTGTTAAATGGTACAAAGACAAATGGGAATCCTGCTCATGATAAGAGGCCGTTAGATTATAGCACATGCCTACGACTTCTCATATCCTGGCAAATTCAGGGTGAGACTCTGGAAGGTTCCCCCAAGCGACCCTTAAAACATCATCTCCACATTCTACAGGCTTCCACTGGGGCCACAGACTTCATGTTTGATGCTCAGCGTCCACAAGGACACAAAGTCTGCTGAAGGAGAAGCATGAGAAAGATCCAGAACAGATATAAAAGATTTTCTTTTAATGTATGTTATGGCCTCTTGCTTCTTAATCCTGCCAGGAAATACGATGGAAGAGGAGGAGATTAAAAACAACACCACAAGAGCTTCTCAACTTTTTGGCTAAGATCAAGTAAAAAAAAAAAAAAAAAGAAAGAAAAAGAAAAAAGAATACAAATCAAACAAACAAAAACTCTTCTTCCAACAATACCATTCAAGTAAATTTTTAAAAAAAAAAAAAAAGTCCAGTTGATTCTTTTGCCCAGTGCAAGCCCAGATGAAAAGGTGCATTCTACAAGTGAAGGAGCGAGAGTCACCGCCACTGACAGCTAAAGGAGACGCAGGCTGAGACAGACGCTGCCAAGTGGCTGCATTGGAGGGCTGTTTTCATCATTGTCAACATGATAAAAGAAGATGAAACCTTGGTCTGGTAAAAGACGTCATCACTTTTATTGCTATACTCATTTTTATTATTACGTGTGATAATAAGAAAGAAAAACGGAACGGTACAAGGATAACAGAAGAGAAGGATATAGGGGAGAGCATTAAGTCAAAGATTTTAGTTCTTACTACTATTTAGTATTTTTGTTAAAAGGTCAATTGCTGTGTAAGATAGCCTTTATGATATAAACAAGCACACTCTTTTGTGAATATTAAAATGAGGCAAAACTCCAATTGTTTATAACTGAGTAGGAGGGTGAATGCTTAGTACACAAAGCTGAAGGAAAGCCATCTGTTCAGCCAGGGTGCCCTCTGGGAGAAGCAAGTATTTTCTCAGGAGGCTAACCCAGAGGAAGTTTTTAAAAAAAATAAAAATAAAAATAAAGATGATACTCACATGGATATTTAATTCTACATTTTTCCACTGACAAAATCTAGTGAACTTGTCACTAAAAAAGAATATAAATAATTACTGAAAGGTTAAATATCAAATTAACTAGATTTATAGATCAGCATTATCATATAAAATAGAATACTTGAAATGCTTCTCAAATAGAGTAAGTTTTCTAACACATTTTTTCCCAAAGCATTTACCAGTATCCGTGGCTTTACTTTACAATTCAAATGAAAGCATTCATGTCATGAGCTATGGTGACACATTTATCTGAATCAGTATAGTCCAACAGGGAGGTAACACACACGAGCCACATACGTCACGTACACGAGGAAATTTAATATATTTTTGTAACCCGTTATATCAAAAAATTATTTCCACATGTAATCAAGTCTCTGAAATCTTGTATGTACTTTGCACTTAAAGCACATTTTAATTTAGACTAGTCACATTTCAAGTACTTGAAGGATGTATGTGGTTAGTGGTGACCATATTCGATAGCACAATTCTAAGTGATCAAAAATTAATGTTATAAAATATTACAAGAGTAGCAAATGCTTAAGTAGTGTTGTAGTGTTTACCATATGCTAGGACCTATTATTTTATTCTTCCTAAAAACTCTATGACCAGGCACTATTTTGATTCCCACTATACAGGCGGAAAAAAATAAGACATCAAAACATTAAGTGGCTTGGCCAAGGTCGTGCAGTGAGAGAATGGGAGGAGCTGGATTTAAATCCAGACCAACAGGCTCCAGAACATCTTCTTAATCAAAATTTAGTATTGCCTCTCAAAGGTGCAATAGCGCAGAAGAGACACTGTCAGGCCAGAATTCCAAGATAGAATAAGGTACCCTGCACTGACACACACCCACAATTCACTCGACAGTTTGACAAGAGTGTTCTTTGTCCATAAAGACAAATATCTATCCCATTTCTATTTAATAAAGATATTGTTTCAATCTCTGTTTTATTAACAATAAACATCTGTAAGTTGTTTGTTTTAAAAAAGATTCTCAAAGGAAATTCATTCTAGACTGAACACTGCTTAAAAGCAGAGAACATGCTTAGTGATGGTTGGATCTCATCTAGCCCCTGGCATGACTCCTTACAGGGACAAAGAATTCGGGGTTCTTTTTTAATTAAATCATAACTGAATACATTAATGCATTTATGGAGCACGATGTGCTGATTTTATATACAATTTGGAATGCTTACATCAAAGTGGTTCTTATGATGAAAGAAGGAAAAAAGAAACAGAGTGAGGGAGAGAAAAAGGCAGAGAGGGCGTTAATGTCTATGAAGTGCAAGTTACAGATATTTATCAGCTTTCTAATGTTACAGGATGCCTTGAGACAGCCAAACATGGAAATTCTCTGGGGACTTCATTTAAGAGGTCTTTTAGAAATAAAGATATTTTACAAATATTTCTGGGGCTAACCATCAAACTGAAACTCAAAAGCAGAAGGATTCTTTGTAATTGCACAGCATCTTTTTTTTCTGAAAATGGCTTTTAAAGAGTGCTTCACCAATCCTCCTGACATTTATGACCCTGGCAAAGTAAAATTACATTTTGAGAGTTTCTGAGAATTATTTCAACCAGTTAGTTTTTAAAAGCATGGTGCATACAAAAGGCAAAACCACATAGGTGTGTTCTGCACTCCTAAATCCTCGACTGGTCTTTGAGATTCACTGGCTCTGCTGGGCTGGCTCACACGGTCTTTTCTAGTGGATTCTGGAGTTAATAGCTGGTGATGGGGATCTGACACATTTTACAACCAGCTGAGGAGGGTTAGCAGACCAGGAAGAGAGAAGTGCCCACACATTCTGCCCACTAAGCATGGATTTGCTCTAACTAGTTCCTCTTTAGGAAGCACAGATGGCCAGGATTGAGTATCCAGGCTCAGTTCTGTCTCCATGGGGGTCACTGGACCTCTATTCCTAATCAACAGCTGGTTACTGAATGGGGCACTTCTTGACAGAAGAGGAACTGAGGCAGAGGGGAAAACCCCAGCAATTACATGGCCTCAGATGGTCAGAGCCCCTGCAGACATGTCAAAAGGATCTCACAGAGGAGAGGAGAGGCTGGGGCACAGTAAGGTGGGGTAGAATACATGTTTTTAACCCTGCTTCTAGGCTTTTTACTGGGGAGCAGCTGCAGTTCAGTACCTCAACTAGGCCCATAGCTCTCACCTAGTGCAGGGGTCCTCAAACTTTTTAAACAAGGGGCCAGTTCACTGTCCCTCAGACCGTTGGAGGGCCAGACTGTCTGGCCCAGGACGAGTCGGCTGCTAAGCAGGACAGACAGTGGGGCAAAAACACCCAGCGGGCTGGATAAATGTCCTCGGTGGGCCACAGTTTAAGGATGCCTGTAGTAGAGGGAAATCCTCCCTTTCCCCGACTTGGCCCATCTGGAACTTAGCCCTGTCCCTACTTAGCTCTCAGGAGAAACCACAGAAACACGCCCCCGACACTGCTGACAACGTCCTCTTTGCTATTCGACTACAAGGTGGCTCCAGAGAAATTGTGTTAACAGCACTGCCCTCAGTGTACACCATCCTTGATGCCAAAGGCCACATGACCAAATTTATAGAGGGCCCATGCCTTTCAAAATCAAAATTCCAAACTCATAATCTGACATGAATTTTGTTTTCTAATTTGAGGATGTACAAACATAAAAAAAATGGTCTAAAAATTAATATATCAACTTTACAAATAATTTACTGGCCAGGTGCAGTGGCTCAAACCTATAATCCCAGCACTCTGGGAGGCCAAAGTGAGATTGCTTGAACTCAGGAGTTTGAGACCAGCCTGAGCAAGAATGAGATCCCAGTCTCTACTAAAAATAGAAAAATTAGCCAGGTATTGTAGTGGGTACCTGTAGTCCCAGCTGCTCAGGAGTCTGAGGTGTAAAGAGTAGCTAAGCTCAGGAATTTGAGGTTGCTGTGAGCTATGTAAGCTAGAGGCCATGGCACTCTAGCCTGGGGTAACACAGTGAGATTCTGTCTCAAAAAAAAAAAAAAGTAAAAATAATTTATTTATATAAAATCGTACAGGCTTGAGGAAATCCAGAGGGGGTCGCTTGCTTAACTGTAAACAGCCTCACTGGTCCTTCTTGTGACAATGCAGAATGACTAACTCAGGGAAATGTCTGTATCCATCAGCTTGGCTACAAGTGAGAGCATGCAGAGTTACAAACGCGTAGGAAGAACCTCTGCCCCACTCTTCATTACCAGCCCAGCTCTCCTCTCTCCCCCAAGGATCACGTAAATCAGGGGTCCTCAAACTGAGGCCTGCCTAGGACATTTATCCGGCCCGCCAGGTGTTTTTGCCGCCGCTGTCTGTCCTGCTTAGCAGCCGACTCGTCCAGGGGCCTGCAGTCTGGCCCTCTAACGGTCAGAGGGACAGTGAACTGGCCCCCTATTTAAAAAGTCTGAGGACCCCTGAACCCTCGTCTGACCTGAGAGTCTAGAAAGGTTGGATTTTAGAACCCAGGTCCATGGAGATGACCCAGGACTCAGCTGCTACAACTCAGTCCTGAGCCACCAACCTGGTCCCTCAGGCTGGTGCTGCTGCTTTTTGGCACAGTTTCTGCGATAAGAGCGTAATCATTTGTACGCCTGTTAGTTTCCCAAAGCACTGACTCTACTCCAGGATAAAATTATCTCTTGAACTCCAATAAAATCACAACACAACTTTTTTTTTAATTGCTTTAGTTCTGTGAATATGTGGAGAAGAAAAGCACAGTAAAGTAGCATTTGTTCAAGGGCAATTACTGAGCAGCTGCACGCTGCCGGGCAATGAGACACAATCATCACGGCAATTGTCTAGAAATTAGCTGAGTTTACGGAGGAAAGTACAATCAGCGTCAAATAGCATTTTGGAAAAGTCCAATTCCAATGGTATATCATCAAAGAAGAACTGACCAGTAGGTGCCTGAAAAGCACGCAAGCTGAACTTATTTATAGGTGTCTCTGAAAAGCTTTGGGATATTATATGATAAACATGCGTTATAACCCAAAGAGACATATTTATTAGGCATGTTAATAATGCATATGATCACGAGCCGGCATTGGCCTGTGTCCTTAAGCTCTACCACTACATAAAAAAATTAAGTCAAGGCTTGTTCTGTTTTGGGACATAAGATTTCAAGTCCAAACAAATCAGTCAGATAAATTACAGTAATGTTTGTATTAGCAAAGGTCTCCCAAGAAGATACTTTTCTAAAAATTAAGGTTGCTTAGTCTATGCAAATTTTAGACCATAATTAAGCTAAAGAACTAAAAGAGATGTTAAGACATACAAACCCTAGATTATAATGTAAAGTACTGAGAAAACAATCTAACACAAAAATTGTCACATAGTATATACAATTAATATTTACTGAATTAATAAATTAATGTACACAATATCAAATTTTATATTTATGAATAAAGTTGCATACCTTTCCATAAATTTTTTAAAAATGTCACCTCGAAGACTTTCACAGATTTCTTCTATGTATGGCTGGAAAGGATAAAAAAGAAATTCCACCCTGTATAAATGGGAACTTATAAAAGTAAAAAATACAAGCCAAAGAGACTCAGACTAGGTGAGGGTCCCAGTAACACACTCCCTCAGTATCTTATCCTTGTTCTTGCTTTCCTCAGGGCTTGTCTAATTGTCACTAGTAGAAATGTGAGCACAATTATTCATTTCATAGTTATCTACTACAAGACTCCATGAAGAAAGCGACAGGTCTGTCCTGTTTGCCACCAGTATCTCTCTTGCCTGGCCCAGCTCCTGGCAAGTCATTTTTTAATGACCAGGGATAGGGTGCAAGAGAGAAGAGGCCAGTGCTGGCTCTCATGCTCTGCTGTCACCATCTTGAAATTTTTAATCATTTTTGAACTCAAGACCTTGCATTTTCATGTCACATTAGGCCCTGTAAATTATGTAGCACATCCTGCAAACTACTAAAAGTGTTTATAATTGGTGTTATTGATTTTTAAAGATTCAAAGTTAAAAGATCTATGGAGTTATTTTTTTCTTTTTAACTAGCAAGTTTATGTATTGATTTTCTGCATCTTAGAGTTGTGGAGATAAAGGTAACCATGGAAGAAGAGTTAATCTCATGCTTCATCTTGCACATAAGGAGGCTACAGGATGTGGCAGGTGCATCCCCAAGGTCTCTGAGAAAATTGCCACACTGGGATTAGGGAGGACTCCTGGCTCTCATGCACAGTGCTCTTCCCCTCATGAAAACAACTAAAATCTACTTCAATTTTCAAACCACTCTGCACAATACCAAATAAAAAATATAAGTTTTTCTATGTGATGAACTTATATGAAGACCTATAAAAATATGAAGTACCAATATGTCACAATTTAGTCTAGAGTCATGTTGTTTGGGAAAATATCTTGATGCTCTAAACTTACTGGATGATCTAAATTTAACGTTTTCTGTGTCTTCACAGACCCTCCTGAAAGTTTACAAAAAAGGACTAGATCATGGAACTGTCCAAACCAAGTGATGAGAGCAGGAAGTCTGCAGAAGCCACAGGAACCAAACATGGGCAGGGAGGCGGCCACAGCTCTTCTAGGAGCCCCACTTCCTGTTGCAGGAACGACAGCCACCTGACAGGCATCACCTCGGCTGAGCCCACCTCTGCCACCTGGCAGGGCTACCCCTGTACTGGGGAGGGCCCTGGGGATGGGTGCAAAACACATGGACCTTGTTAACTATCTCTCTGAAGTTCTTTACAGCTCTAAATCAATGACACCTCAATGACATGAATAATAATATCAATCTACAGTTCTCAAGAGGTTCAAAAGACAAAATGGCTTATGTGTTCAAAGATCTATACCAAGGAAATGCTACCTTTATATATTGCATATTTTTTGTTTATAAAAAGTATTATGTTAATGAATATTTTCCTTTCATATTTTATCTAACATCCCCTACTTTCTGCTAATAAAATAAGATGAACATCGCTGGGAACTCTTCAGACTACACACAGTGTACCCTGTTGCTGCTCTGCCTGGGGAGGAACCACAGAACACCCTTGGTAAGCCAGAGTTCAACAGTGGGATCAGAAGCAGACTACTTCCTCTATCTGATCGGCAGTTCCCCTAGGGGCAGCCATATCTAATTTGCAAGGCCACTATGAGAATTAAATAAGATTAGGAATGTTGGGAGCTGAGCACAGGGCCTGGCACATTTTAGGGACCCAAATGCAGCCAGGGCCCTTTCCAAACCCAACCCACCCCCACCCAATAGACCTATGCAGTTACTGGCTTCTAAAGTCTATTTGCAAACAAAATGAAATTAATATAAAAAACTTTTATTTACTTATTTTCAGAGCATTTCTGTTTCACTATGAACTTTAACCAACTTTACTCAATAATGTGCTTCTATTAAAAAAAAAACATACAACTTTTACTTATACTATTACCACTATCTTTTAATCGTAAATGTTACACTGAATTGCACTAATACACTACTTATTTTAATGAACTTTATTTTCTTCATCTTTGAAATAAGAATACCACCCATCCTATGTCAATTTTACCAGAATATTATTTCCATTCATTTTTTTAATGAACAAATCCGTAAAGTGTTTTTGAAGAATATACTAAAGAAATAGCTTCTAAATGAATGTTTTCTTTAAGGCATGAAAATAATCTTGGTGGTTTTTGTATTTCACTTAGAGCAGTTTGTTTTCAGTGTTATTTATGCTACAGAAAGAGTTAAAACCAGAATTGTAAAACCCGTGTATTATGAGGTATAAGTTAGCAATGTTAAATCTAATTGACAGGTTATGTGCCATGCAGTCAGCTGAAAACTGAAAATCTGACACTAGAATATCATTGAGATGGCAAAAAGCATATATTCATACTGCATTTTTTGAATGTGCAAACACAATTTGTATTAATGGCTAACTAACATTTGTGAGACACTGTGATGGGCACACCTGATACAAAGCCACAGAATTGTCCGTCTCACTGAATCCTCTAACATTTCCACTTCACAGATGAAGTCAGGAAGGTACAGAAGTTTGCTCAGGGTCCCCCAGCTATGGCCCTGAGATTTAATTCCAGGTCAGGTCAATGAACTTCAGAGTTCAGGCTTGTAACCCCACCTGACTATACAGACAGGTCCCACATTTCATGAAAAGGCCATCTAATTATTTTGGCAGAAAGGTAACACCCTACTGGTCACCACCCAAATGCTCTAGAAGCCAAATTAGTATTTGCTCTAGAGAATAATCAAATTCAATTTTTAAGAAATAAATACTATCAAATCAAAAGTCAGTTACCTCACTGCAAATGACTGAATAATCCAAGAAAAAGAGAATTTAATTATTTTCATTTATGAAAATCATTACATTGTTCAATTGCATTCTTTCATATTCCTTATAATTCATAGATATGTAAAATATACATTATCCATTTGAGAATCAGACAGTCCTTGCAAATCAGTGTTACATCTATAGAAAAGAAAGGATGAAAAAGACATTTGGGAGGAAGTAAAACCATTAAATTTAAAGAATAGTAAATACAAAGGCCTATTATGAATTTTGTTTTCCAAGTCTTGTCACTGAAATCTACATGACTGTGTTATGTTCAAGATATGAGTAACCTATACTGCTGTGATGTACCCATAATAATTAAAAATACAAAATTTTAAAAATAAATAAAAATATGAACTGCCAAGATAAAATATAATTCCTCAGTTGTGACTCAAAGATCATTCAAACATTCACTCTTCATTCTTGAAAATAAATCTTATTTTATCTAAAGAATAATCACAGCAAGTATCAACACCGTGGCAATACAAAATAAATCTTGTAAAGTCCTTACAAGCCACCACAATGTCAAATGGGAAAAAAACTTTCTTCTTTGATGTCTTATCTTGACTGATTTCTAGAACATAATGTTACCAGAAAGCTCGAGTGGCTTTTCTCAGGAAAGCCTTTAGGAAGCAAGTTGGTAAAAAATCGCATTTCAATGAGAAGACAAGCAATATTATACTTCAGTTGCTCAGATACCTCTTCGGATAAGAACATAGTCTTACAAATCAATTCCTCTAGTACATTCACACATGCAGAAAGAATGCCACCCAGGTCAACTAACTGTTAAACAAAATAGACATTTATTTTGAAAGAATTTTATCTTACCTGAAAAAGAGCTGATGTTACTTGTTTCTTAGATAGATGACTTTGCACATGTTCTACAGCTTGCTTTGAGAATGGCTTTCAAAAATCAAAAATACTTTTTAATAACAAAATAGAACAGACTTCTGTATATTATATAATATCACAAAAGATGATTTAACACAATAATTACTGAACAGCAACCTATCGTAAATATATTACCAAGCATTCTTCAAAAACTTCTTGATTATTTATAGGCAATACAATGCATTGTTTGTATTGTAGAAGACATTATTTCTCTGGGCATCCATAGTTCTTAGACACCATACCTAGGGGGTATCTGATTTGCATATCCAGTTCCCCTAAAGTTCAAGGTCACTGTGAGAAAAAGTGTAAAGAATCCTATTATCAGCAGATTAAGTGCATACATCCTTTAATCAGCTGATAATGGGATTCTAAAAATGTAAAATTTCTACTCTGTAAGAGAAAATGAATACATGAAAATATACTTAAGAATTAAATGTCAGGCTTACAAAGCCAAGCCAGAGTTATAAAAGGCTCCATGTGAAGGAAAGTCTTGCTATAACCACAGCAGAGAGGAACAGGGTAAAAAGAATGAGGCTTCCACTGACAAAAATTACAAATTGTATCCTCCCCACCCCCACTGAAAGGTCAAATTGTCTTAATAATACATGGCAAGAAGAAAGACCTACAAATCACATCATATGGCTAAAATCCTTCTAAGTTGCTGAAACGCACACAAACTGAGTTTACAGAGGCTATGCCACTGAACATCTGGCATTCTCCAAGAGGTTGTGGCTCCCCAGCGAGGTGGCAAGGCAGGAGCATCCATCACTAGTTCTAGCTCAGAAATGCTTCTACCCCAAGCACGGAGGGCCTTAAGAATACTAAAGCAATACGTGCCACAAAGATGTCATCTTTATCTACACTTACTCAAATGTCAGAAAGACTGTAAACAACATAATGAATACAGAGGCACTAAAATGTGCCATTGCCACACCAGTGCAGCCCAAATGGACTTTCTGCGCTGATAGTGATGCTGCCCATGCTGTGCCCCTGGCCATCTGACGCAGAAGCCACCAGCCACACACGGCTACGCAGCACTTGAAATGTGGCTCATGAGGAAACTGAGAAATTAAATTTTTAATTTCATTTGATTGTAATGAATTTAAATTTAAATAACCACATGTGATTATTAGCTACTGTAAAAGAAGAATAGGCCAGCACAGTTGGGCTACTCCTTTGGAAAACAGTCCCAATGTAGTGATGTTATTAATTATTCCACTCACTCCTGGTGGAATAATTTCCTAGGAATCCAGTTTATCCTCTTGACCCAAATTAGAATGTTTATCTGATTTACAAAAAATATATATATACTTCAATCGTTATTTAACTATTAATGAACACAATTAACACAATTACAATCCCCATTATTAATTCAAATAAACTTTTAAGATTTATATGTATCAATGTTTGATTAGCCTAATTGTTAAAGCATAGCTAAATTAAAAATAATAAACTAAAGTTCTACTAGAACCTCTAAAATTGAGACTACTAACCTTTTTCTTCAACTTATCCAAATTAGCTGCTTTATTTATCAATTTTTGCAATAAAAGTATCAGCTTTTGGAAATATACTAAGAATTTATGAATTAACAGATACTGTGGCAGTATTTACCAGAAAACAAATGACAAAACAGAAGAAATTGGTTCCATCCGGGATGTGCATTTTTTAAGTTTTAAACATCTTTCCGTGATTTTACTTTCATACTGAAAACACTGAACATGGTCTCATATTTATCAGTGCTCAAGCACTAGAATAAGAAGAAATTCTTACATGAGAACAGGAAAGGAGCTCCTTCATGATATACGTATCATAAATTTGTCGACTTCTGCTGAGGCGATCTTCCTCATTATCAAGCTTTTCGTATTCTTTTATCTAGATTTTTTTAAAGTTATCATTAGGTAATGTCTTCCTAGAAATTCACCTTATTAAAAGATATGATTAGCCCAGACAGAAACCACTCCCATATGAGATAAAGTAAATTACTGACTGGCTATTCCACAGGAAACAATTCCTTCTAATGTAATGATGAAGTTGGAATAATTTAGACTCAACTAGAAACATAACAAATGGACTTTTTCCCCCATGATGAGTCTCATCCCATAAATGTAGAAACATAACATCAGGAAGCAAATCCTGCCATGGTTACAATTATCTTACAATACACATGCCATGCACCATGCATCCTTGCCAATTCTCTCCAAAGCACAAATAATTTCAATTTGGCTGTAATTCAGTTCTAAGAGTTATGACAGGGATTGTTCTCACTCAAGTACAGTGCTCCAAAACTAATAGGAGAAAAAAAATGAACTGCCAGGATTCCTGCAAAGGGATTTCTTTAAAAATCCACTAAAGCAATTAAGTATTTTAGAAAAGAATTAATCCACAGATGAAAACACTAGTGTTTCAGGTTGGAATCTTACCTGCCCTATGAAAGTATTAACAGAAAGGTGACTTGAAATGGTATATTTTGCTATGCTTAGGTACACCTAAGCTAACCTGCCCCATGTTAAGAAAGATTAAATAATGAAATGTGCTTTAGAAATATTTGCCTTTTGTGGATATGATCCCAATTTCTCTACCCTGGTAACAGAAAGCCCTAAATCAGAGACATGTTCCCATTTATTTACATAAATACTTTTAATGAAAAGACAAGAAAAGACTGAAAACATAAACAAAACAGGAAGCTGGGAGGAAGGCTGTCACAAAGAGCTTCAATACACCTATGATGACTGATCACTATAAATGACTTCTGGAAAAAAATGTTTTCAACAGTTAGCCCCTTAACTCTGTCGGCTTTCCTCAGACCTGAGCACTCTGTCCTGGAGTCACCAAAGGTAAAGCTAACTACTCTGGTGGGAGAGAATATAAATGGAATAGAAATGTTACCCTTTACTTCATAGTCTAGGCTTGACGTTTTGAAATCTAAACCAGTAAATCCTATAAGAAAGAAGCCTAATAAGGATAAAGGCCCTGTCAGGGGGCGGAGGAGAGAAGAGTATGTGAGACGCTGAGGTCCCAAATGAGCTGCAGGAGCACAGCTGGTTCACAAACAGAAATCACTGGGAATATCTTAATTATCCTGAAAGATCATCAATGTTATGCTGAGATGGCTAAATTCACACTTCTGTTCCTGCCAAGACAAAGAATAAAGCCTTGATGGAACAGATAATAAAACCCGACATGAAAGCAGGTAGATGGGAGGTAGGCTGACATCCCATCCAAGAGGAAAAGACTGTCTGAATGAAGAAATCAAGTCAGTAACACTGGCAGAGTCCAAGGACCAGGGCTTACCCATCCTGTGTCAACCTAGGAGAACAAGTCCAAAGAGTTCAAACACCACGCAAGGTGCACGCACGGTGTCGGTGTCTGCGATTACACTTGAGTAAAGAAACAGAAGCCACACACCAAAATCCAAGGAAGGGTCAGAAAATAAACAAAAGATTTGGGACTTGGTTCATTCCTTTCGTTGTGTTTTCCTCTTGACAGATCCAAACGTTAGTGTCAGGCTGCTAGGATATAGGATAGAAAGGTAGGCTGTTTCCAAACCGAAGACAAAAATTTCTGCTTCAACAGACTATTCCATGGGAAATAACCTCAAAGAATAAAAAGCTTTCATGGATTCCATGAAAACATGCATAATGGGATGTAAGTCTAAGCTCCAGGAAGCATGTAAAGCAAACTGACACTTGGTTAAACAAACATTCATTCTATGGAAGTGTCCGTGAACTGTCAAATTCTGACTATACAGAGAATTCTCAGAACCAATGACACTCTAATACCATCTTTAGTCAGAGCCTTGAGCCTTATAAATGAGACCTTAAACAGCAGAAAAGGTAACCCACAGTAAGCAAAGTAGTAGACTAATGTATGTGTGGTTGTACTCAGAATTCACTTCCTATTATCAGTAAGTCCAATGAGGAAGAATGAGCAGTTAACCATCCATCAATTAGCTCCAAACAGGGTGGCCTCACTGCAACAGACAGAGTAAATGCTGCCTCTGACTCTGGCACATGGTTGCCTAGGTAACCTGAACAGAGAAGAGTCTACGTTCAAGGTAAAAAGTCTTACCTACTATAGAACAGGAAATTACCATCATCAGTAACAAACGGTCACCGAGCATGCGGTAATTACACAGTTCACAGCAGACCGTGCAACCTAAACAACTTGAGCACTAGGAGTAAGAATTTTTGGTCCACAGCAGTCATGTCTCCACTCCTCCCAACCCCCTGCTTGTTCCACCACCATTCCACTGAGAGGGACCAATAAAGTCTTTGCCTTCCCGATCCAAGGCTCTCCCTTCTGTCCCTGGCTTCACTGTCTTCTCAGCAGCACTCTACTCACTTGTCCAGTCCTACCTTTTTTAGAACTGTTCTCTGACCTCTGTGATCTACTCTCTCCGGGGACCACACAGGCTCCTCTTTCTCCATCTCCTTTGGGAGCTCTTCTTACTCTGCCTGACTTCTAAATATTGACCTGCCTCGGCCACGGTGCTGAGGCCCCCTTTTTGCTAAACTATGTTATCCTTAGATAAAGCTATTCAGCCTCACATTTTCAAAAACTCTGTTCTGATGACTGAATCTAGATCTCTAAGACTCACTTTCTATCCCTGAGCTCCAGATTCTAAATATCCAACTACCCATTCGGCATTTTCAGTTGAATATCCAGAAAGCATCTCACTTCAAATTCATCACATCTAACTATAGCTCTTAATTACTACATCCTCTGTCCTCCAGCTAAACAGGCTCCTTCTGCCCCAGTCTTCTCTATCATGAAAACAAGTAAATCCATCCTCCTAGTTTCTTCATCCAAAAAATGAATAATCATCACTAATTTCACTCTTTTACCCACACCACTGCCACACCATCCCCTACATAAAATTCACCAGCAAATCATGTTTGCTTCATATTAAGAATATGTCACAAAGCCAGGATGTGCTTTTGGTAAGATCCAACTACCTCATAACAGAACAATCCTTCAGAAATGACAACCATAAATTCCGGACATATATAAAACAAACTATTAACAGGCATTAGAGAGTAGCCAAAAGTACACAGATAATGGAGAAGTGGCATCAAACAAGAGCTATAAGAGAACATATTTCTGGAAATAAAAGAGATATAGAATAGGAACTCCAAAATTCTACGTGTAAATTCTGTCAAAATCCCTGGTGGACCTAATAATGACACATGAGCAAGGCAGACTCCAGCAGCCCAGTTAAGTTGTAAAGCACTGAATACCATTCAGTTGCCACCAAGGAGAGGAGAAGTTAAACTTCTTAAAGAGCTTAAAGTTTGAGTAAGCCAAGTTAACTGTCTACTGAAATTTTTAAAAATGAGTACCACATGTGGGAGCATGACAGAGTTTAGAGTGTCTCTGATAAGTTAATCGTAATGTTCAGTATATAATCAAGAATTATTCTACATATGAAGAAATTAGGAAAATGTTGACCCATACACAAGAGAACAAACCATCAACGAAAATCAATCCAAACTAATCCAGATATTGGGATTATCAGACAAAGATTTTAAAGCAGGTAACATAATTGGACATAACAAAAAAATGTTAAGAGAAAATATTCATGTTAATGAATAAAACGATAGGAAACAGTGCAGAAAAATAATAACTATGAAAAAACCAAATGGAAACTTTAGAAGTAAAACATGTGATATCTGAAATAAAACATTCAATGGATCAACGTAACAGCAGAGATGCCAAAAGAAAAAGTCAATGAATTTGAAGATAGATCCACAGAAATTATCCAATCTGAAGAAGAAAAAGAAAAAAAATATTGGCAGAAAATATCAAACAACACATGTGAGACACAAAGGTACATCAAGATACATTCAAAGATCAAACCTGCACATAATCAGAGAGGAAAGAAAGATCAAGGTAGAAAAAAATGCTTAAAGAAATATTACCCCTAATTTTCCAAGATTTGGTGAAAGACACAAATTTACAGACTCAAGAAACTCAACAAACTTCATAAAGACTAAATACATTATCTAAAATTATTCTACTAAAAGCAAAAAGTGTCAGAATGAGGAAAAAAATAATCAGGACATTTTAGTATGTCTGAAAAACCTCGAACTTTAAACATAAAAACACAAGTGGATGGTAGAAAGATGGAAAAAATACATCATGAAAATAGCACAGGAAAACAGATGTGGCTGTACGAGTATTAACAGCCCGTGAAACTCACGTCAAGACAAAGAATATTACCAGAGATGATGAGGGACATTTCACTTGGAAGACAAAACAATCATAAATCTATGAGTGTATACGCACCTAATTACAAGCTTCAAAATATGTGGGGAAAAACCGACAGAATAAAAAAGATACTGGCATTCTGCAGCCAGATTTGAAGATTTGAAGACTCTTCCCCTCAGCAACTGCTTGAATAGCCAGGTATGAAATCAACAGAGATGCAGAAGATGAATCACATCAACCACTTGGACCTAACTGCCATTTACAAAACTCTGCACCTACAGCCTCTGTTTTAAATTTTCCAGGAGCTTTAGACAAAAATCTGAATATGTTACTCTGGCCCCACAAACTCTGTCTGTCTTCAGCCTGACTGCATCTCACAATCCCCCTTTGCACCCAAGACAACTTACACCATTTGTCTTTCACTTCCTCAGATGGGCCAATTCTTTCCCACCATGTTAGGGGCTCTGTCTTGGCCATGACTTCAGCCCACAATCTTTTCTCCTTATTTTACTCTTACCTTCAAAGGACTAGTTTCCTTGACATTCGAGTCTCTTTAAATGCCACCTCCTCGGACAGCTTTGACCCTTCAATCTCAAATGGCCACCAAGTCACAATAATCACATTGAATTTTGAGTCTGTTTTCAGTCACTGCATAATAGTTATCACTTCTGGATACATTCCTGTTTGTATTTATTTATTTATTTATTTATTTCTTGTTAACTGTCTCTTTCTCTCTAACAGAATGTAAGCTCTAGAGAATGAAGACTTTGTTCATCCAAACCATGCACAAGGTTGGTGTTCAATGCATATTGGTTCAATGGGTGAAAAAAAAAACTCTATATAGCAAATTTACCTCTGGTCTTATGTTTATTTTTTACTTTGTATGACTTGCTTTTAAAGCTAGGTATAATGTACATACATTTACAAGCTGTCCTGCTTGGAACAGAAAGTGTATCAAATCAACATCCTGAGAGCAACTACGGTGAGGTATATACACGGCCACCAGACAAGGCAGGGTCCTATTATTACCCTAACTCTTGGCGGAGGAAACCCAGGTAGAGAGAGGATAACTTGCCTGCCGACATTCACATAGCTAACAAGCAGTCCAGTCCAAATCTACACCTGGGCAGTGGAGTTTAGAGCTAGAATTCTTACTATGATGTTGCACGGCTTCCCATACACTGAGCTGCACATTACAGATGTCATATTTAGTTAAATAAGCAACTGATCATCTAGTATCCTGTTTGGACTTCACTGTTAGACTGCCAAGCAAGCAGGGGATGACCACCAACTTCCTTTTAGAGGTGAGATAATGCAATGCTCAGGTACTTTCTCAGGACAGGGAGTGTCTCTGCATCTACAAGCTCAGAGTATGACACAAGGTCCATTCTCCAGGGTTTGTCAAATGACTTGCCCCATATCCCACTGCATGGGAGAGGCACATGCACCTAGGTCCTGGCCAGGCCTCCTGCTGATGAACCAAATCATGGTCTGGATTAAAATTCCAATGACACACACGAGCAGCGAGCACATGTAAGGTAAGCAGGACCTGAGCAAAATGGACACAAACCATCTAAGAATCGGAGGAATAAACCATCATGGAAGATGGGAATAGTTGACAAGCAGACTTGTTAGAAACACAGAGTTGTTCCATTTGGGAAAAAATGGACATTAGGTTTTCAGCAGGCCCAGAAGCAGCAATCTAGAGCGGCAAAAAGACGTGGTGAAAAAAGATGGGGTCAGAGAATGCTGGTTAGGCAGCTCACTAACGCGGACATTCTGCATAAGAAGGTAGTAAAAGCTGAAAGCCTTCCAGAAAGGTAGGTAATAAGTAGAGATATCTGAATCCCGGGATAAGCAATTAGGGCTTTAACTCACAGAAAGTGGGGGAACTGTTAAAAGTTGGGGGTCACAGGAAAGTGGAAATACAATGTACCCAGTGTGCTTCAAGATACCTGCCCACATGGTTTTGTACAGACTGGGGTCATAAAAACAACCAGAAATTAAGGAAGAATCTGCTGGAATGGCAAAACCAAGGAGTTAGAGAAGAATTTAACTTCTGCATTTAAAGCCTGTACTGATTCAAAGACTGGGTCCTGAGTCCCAAGGAGAGAGGGTAAATTCAGTAAAGAAAACAGAGCAGGCTGCTGAGGAGCTTTGCAGCACCCTCCGGAGGGAGCTCTGAGGCGGCAGATCGTCCTGTGCCAAGAAGAAAGGTGAGAAGAGCTGGGGAGGAAGCCAACAGCGAGTCACCAGTGTTTAAAGTTCACGCAGAAACACAGAAGCAGCTGTGTTTTTGAAGGAAAGTGTGAAAAATATCAAGTTTTCACATACATGGCTGAGGCAGTAGAAAGGGCCATCCCTCTAATTTTCAACTATGCCTACAGGTTACTACCACAGTTTCAGGCCTAACGATGCTACGCTTTCTTTGGACTATTTAAAATATTTTAGGGTAAAGATACGTCATGCTAATAATAATAGCATGTCTCATTTCTTAAATATACAATATTTTAATTTAAAATATTTCTGAAATTCTATTTTAATTTCTTCTTTGACCTATAAATTATTTATGAGTATATTCACTACCAGGCAGTTAAACATTTCTTAGTTAACCCTGTTATTAAATTTGAATTTAATTCTCTTATGGTCAATCTCAATCTTGAATTCTGTAGTTTTCTTTGGGACTCAGCACGTGATCTATTTAGATGTTCCATGTGGACTCTCAACACGAATTCTTTCTTCTCAGGGTGCAGCATTCTATGTATGTCAATTAGGCCCCATCCATGCATCATTTTATTACTATCTTTTATATTCTGACTGATTTTTTGCCTGTTCTACGTGCATATAAGCTCTTGGAGAGTGTGTGCTAATATCTTCCACTAGAATTATAGATTTGTCTCATTCATTTTTGTCAATTTTTTGCTTTATATACTTTGAAGTTATGTTATTGATAACATTCTTTTCGGTTGACCCTTTATCATGGGGAGATATCGCTCTCTATTTCAAAGCAGCCATAATTACTGTGCAGTTTATCTGATCTTAGTAAGTTTACCAGTTTTGCTTTGGTTAGTGCTTCTATTCTGCCCCCATCCTACCATTTAAATGATGGCACTTAAAAGCAGTATATAGTAGAGTTTTGGTTCTTTATCCAGCCTGAAAAAACTTATCCTTTTACTTTGAGTATTTAGTCTACTTATATTATGTGCAATTATTTAGATTTATAGCTACTATTTTACTGTTTCAATTTGACAAACCCATTTCACGTTCTCCTTTTATTCCATTTTTGCCTTGCTGTTGATTAATCAACTATTGTTTCATTCAATTTTTTCCCATTTTGACTCATTGGAAACATAGTTACAGGTCACTTAAGGGAGACACATTCTGAGAAATCTGTACGTCTTCCTGTGTGACCATCATGGAGTCCTCACACCACCCTACATGGGACGGCCTGTTGCACCTGACCCTGTATGTGTGGCCTGTTGCTGCCAGGCTGCAATCCTGTACAGCATGCCAGTGAACACCAAACCAAACACTCTGGGCAATTAGAACACATGGTTAATATCTGTATATCTGAACATAGAGAAGACACAGTATGAAGCCCTGTCCTACAGTGGTCTGTTGTTAATCAAAAAACATCACTATTCAGTGCATAACTATACATACTGTTCTTTTAAAGTCACCTTAGAGATTACAATATACATTCTTTACTCATTACAATCCAGTGCAAATTATTACTTACAGTACTTTCCCCAATAGACTTAAGATACTTTTAAGTTCATTCATTACTTCTCCTGCCTTCTGTGTCTTGTATTTTTTTAATTTTTACTTTAAATTTTTTGTTATTTTAGGTTAATGTGAGTGTACAAAACAACTAGTCTGTAACATTTGCAGATGTTAGGTAGAGTCCCTCCTATAATTGTGTCCCAAACCCAAAAGGTGTGCCATACACCCTTACACGATGCCACTAAGTGGGAGCACACCCATCGCCTCCCCTCCCCCCATCTCACATACATTTTAAGCTCTAGAAACATTACCTTACTGTTTACGTGGTCAGTATTCACGGATCTTTTGCACGTACATTTACTCTCCGTGATGCTCTTCAGTCCTTTCTGCATATCACCTGGAATTGTTTTCCTTCTGCCTAAAAGTATTTCTCATCACGTAGATCTACAACTGACACGTTCCCTCATTTTTTGTTTGTCTGAATTTCACTTTCACTTCTGAAGGAAATTTTTGCCGGGAATGGAATTCTAGGTTGGCAGTTTTTATCTTTCTCTCCTTTAATGATAGACATTTCACTAATTTTTTTAATCACATCTTTTAAGATGTCACAGTGCATCAAATTTAAAAGTAATGTGTCTTCCCCACCCCTATCCTGTTTTTAAATTTTTTCTTTGTCCTAAGTTTCCATAGTAGATGGGCAGAGATAGGTTTCCTTTGTATTCACTTTGCTCAAGGTTTTATAACTTTTGAATCTCTCAGTTGCGTTCATCACTTTGTAAAATTCTTATTATCTCTGCAAATTTTGCCTTTGACCTACTCTCCCTCTTCTCTGAGACTCTAGTTCTACATGTATTATACCTTCCAAGCACATCCTACGTGTCTATAATGTTCTTTATCTATTTATTTTTTCTACTTTTTTTCTCTGTTTTCAGTTTGAGATTATTTACTGATCTGCTTTCCTCTTTTGTCTTATATTATAAATAATCTGCTATTGAAACTAACCATTACGTCCTAACTTCAAATTTTGCATGTTCTGTTTTAGAATATCTGTTTAAGTCCTTATAATAAATCTAAATTATCATTAATTATCTATGCCTCCATCTATTAAGTCCATACTTTAATCTATTTTCTTGAACATACTATTTATAGTAATTTTACAGTAGCTGGCAGCTCATTCTAATCTCTGATCCATCTGTTGGTCTGCTTCTATTGCCTTGTTTGGGGTCCCATGATCTTGCCTCTTAGCATATCTGATAATTCTTTATGCTGAACACGACTATCTTCTGTGTGCAAAAGAGATAGAAAGGGCTCCCTTTCTACTTGGTTAAGCAGGCAAGGAGGAGACTCTCCACCCAGTAAGGGAAAGAACCAAGTACAAGGCCATTTTTGCAGGCCCAGTGTGCCTGTGCCTTGACCCTCTTTCTAAGTCATGGCCCTCCACAGAGTTCAAGGAGAGATTGTTATCTCCTCAGCACTAGATTCAGTTCTGCCCTTGAGACGTTTTTAGCTTAACCCTTTGTCCCCCCATCCTTAACTAGATGTCCTGCCCAGCATCTAAAGTTGGCATATATCTAGAAAGGATGTACCTCTTTAGCATATTTGGGGTCCCTCCAGTCTCATTTGTAGCCTCAGAAACCTCTTCTGTCTGTTCTGTCTCCCAGAAGCAGTCAAACCTAGGTTCTCATTTGCCTGCTGAACCCAGAATCAATAGCTGCCCCAGGTGAAAAACAACCGTAGATGTTAGGTGCTCCAGGCCAGTCCCCCTGGGGTTTCATCTCCTGCCCTCATAGGTCCATGTTTCCTAAGCATTGTGAGGCTGTGGGAGAGTCCAATGTGCCTTCCAGAAGCTTCTGGCTCTCTTTAGCCTCCTCCAACCTCAGATTTCACCAAATGCCTTGTCGGGAAAATTCATCGTGTATTTGCGTGCCTCCACATCCTCCGCTAAGTCTCCAATTTGTCACTCCAGAAGACCCTGGGTAGTTTCCTTTTCAACCCCAGTAGCTGTCCCCTGCCTCAAGTCCCATCTCCAGAGTCAGCACACTGCCAGAGAAAACAGAACAGCTGGAATCCTCAGGGTACTACCGAATGAGTCTCCTTTCTCTGAAATTTTAGTTCAACTGCTGGTTGTTGCTTCAATGGCATGCTGAAGCCTTTAAGGTATGATTTGTATAACATGCTCAGCTTTTGATAGATGTTGTTAGCATCTCTAATAAACGTAATGCTATATTTTGCACTGCTAATTACTTTCAATGAATTTCTAAATATTTGTAAGACATTTAGTAGTCTTAATATTTTCAAGTTACAGTTTAAATATGCTTTTGAAATAAAAGCATCAGTAAAACAGTTACTTCTTACCTCTTCATAAAACTTCACCTGAGGTACAGCTTCATTAATTTCATTCAAACAAAAATCTTTAAATAGCAAGAAACCTAAAAAAAAAAAAAAAAAAAAAAAAAAAAAAAATCAGGGTGGCTTTGAAATAAAAGCATCAGTAAAACAGTTACTTCTTACCTCTTCATAAAACTTCACCTGAGGTACAGCTTCATTAATTTCATTCAAACAAAAATC